AACCTTGGTAGTAAAGCAGATGTACAATCTGTCCAGGTGCTCAAAGACTTACAATGGTTTAAAAATCCTAAAGAAATCTCACTCCTAAAGTCTCTATTTGATCCCTTTGTCCTATTAGTATGATCTGAAGGTATTTGGACTCTACCTGATCCTTCTGCTGACACCATCTGTCTTGACGTCGACGCCAGAACTTGGAACACAGATGTGTGATTTGATTTCCCATAGCTAAGTGGAGTACTTATGAATTAATGTCATTGTACGATTATTAACTCAGCTGGCAATGGCTTCCGGGAAAGGTATGCTTAGTAATTCATCCCATCTTGACATTTCCATGGCTGCACCAATAAAAGGTGTCTTTCCATATTCACAGCTAAGAATTCCATTGCTCAATTCATTCAAAGTTGTTCCAGCATGCAGCCCACCATCCTTGCAGATACACTTGAGGTAGAGATTTCACATCCTTATGGGCCTTTCTCATTAAACAGAAATACAAATTTTCCTTTTATTGTTAATATGCTGTAGACAGGCTATAGTTTGTCCCTGAAATATGCAATTGAGAAATCACATATTGAACATGATTGTATTAGTGTCATTGTGCATTTAAGCTCTTGCAGAATATTAAGTTAACTTGTGCTGATGTTGACATAGACACTCAATGTACAAGGGTTAGTTTTGAGTATTCCCAAAATGAAGAGTCATGTTTCAGGAATGCAATAAGTCAATAAATGTCTGGTTTGCAAGCCTGCTTCTTCTTGTGATGGATAGCAAAAGGTTCTTTAAGTGTCAGCCCCAAACTGGCATGCAGTGAACATACTCTGTTCTTATCTAGTGAGATAAACACCTCACAGGATGGGATGCTTGAAACTCAAAGGAGCTTAACTGTACTTTGCATCTGGATGTTGCCAGGGAGAGCACTGTGTGTCTTTGTTCCGTACTTTCTTGCCTATCTCTTCTCCCCTCTGCCAACCCTCTTGTCCCTGTTTCTGCTTCTCTCTCTGAGGGTCTCAAAGAGGTGATTCCAAAGACTTCAGGAAAGACAAGGCTGTCTCATGATGTATGATAGATTCAGTTGTTGTGCCTCCATTCTTGAGGTCCCTACTACCTTATATACAGTTGACTTGTGGAGCCTGTCATTTTTACTTTTTTCTGGATGCTGAACACTTCGGGTTTCGTTGGTGGTTTGGTTTTTTTTCGTTTTGTTTTGTTTTGGTATTTTAGTTTCCACAGCAGCTCTCCGTGCATCTTAGAACACTTTCCTGTTTGCAGAAGAGGTTTATGACCCAGTGGGAGGATACTGTTTTGAGAGGGATACAGGCATCTTATGTGTTGAAACTACTTGTGTAGCCCAGATGATGCACCTTTAATGTCTGAGAACACTACAAAATGTCCCTGTCTGCTCCATTTTATCTGAGTGTGTGTTCTTTGTAGTAAGAGCATTGCTCCAGAGGTTCTCCTATGTGAAGAACTTAACTCTGATACAAGTCCAACCATAGTTCATTCTGCAACAGCATACCCGATCACAGTGGCTAGGAAGGCATCAACCACAACCAGACAACTGAGAAAGAATATTTCTGTCCAAGGTAGGTGGAAAACACGAGTGGGTAGAAAGGCCGAGCGGTTTTGGAAATACTCTTTAAGCACCAAGCAGTATGTGCTGTCTTTGTTTCTAATAAGCATGGCCTCTAGCAGTACTTAATTTCCATAGCATCAGTTTACCATTATCAGATTTGAAGGCCAATTGCTTAGATCTTTGCCAGAACTGACTGTGCAATTAAGAAATTAATTACACCGGGCAGGAGCTGAGGGCCTCAAATGAGTTTTCAAAGACCCCTTAATTTTGGCCTACTCTACCAAAGGAAAAGTCAGGCTTGGCAAACTAATTTTCTTTTACCAGAGAGCTTGTATGGACTGGGTTTAGATGCAATGGGGAAAAAAAAAAAGTACTCAAGTGAAGACTGACTGTGGAAAGGTGCCTTCACCAATTAACAACTTCTCTTGCAGCTGGGTTGTCCCTAAAGGTGATGGTTTTAGAGGAGGTGACACAACATTACTGAATGTGAGTATTGAAACTGCATCAGACTGTTGCAGTGGTGTAATTGAGGAAGTGGTAACAGCCACTGTGGGAAATCCATCCCAAGATGTGACAGGAAGAGTCTTAGTGGAATGACCCTTGGTTGTGGCAGCGTCCAGATGGCTCTGGGCCAAGGGAAACTCTTTTAGGGGAGTTTGCAGAACTGAGGAGTTCAACAGAAAACTGATGGCTGGCACAGTGATTCCTGCCAGACCATGTGTGTATATACTTGGATGACTGATCAGGTTAGGTGTCTTCCTTCCCTGTCATTCCATGTGCCTCCTTCAGTGATTTGCTTTGAAATCTGCTTTAAGGTATGAGAAACAAATGTATCAAACAAACTTGCTGTGAAGTAAAGCAGAGTTGGAGCTCTACCTTATCATCTTCTCCACAGGTAGCTTCTCTACCTTATCAGCTCCTTCATGGCATGAAGGAGTCTGTGGTAAACATGAGGTGATTGACACTCCCAAGAAAACCTTACAAACTAAAAACCAAGCTGCAAACGTTTTGTATTGCTATCGCAATCAGAGCACGCTCTGCAGAACTGGAGAGGTGGCTTTCAGCCTTCTCACACACTGGAAAGCATTACACAAAGGCCTCTCTCCTGCTTGAACAAGTGGTCCCACCATTAACTACAACACCAAAGCCTGCATCCTTCCTTCCTTGGCAGACATACACAGTACTTTGTCAGGAGCTTAGTCCTACCAAAGGCGATAAGCAATGACCAAAGCCTGCTCTTCAGAGGACTTCTGGTTGAACCAAGAGAAAGGATGTGCTGCTCGGGCCAGGCCAGTTCTGCTTCTGCACACCTCTTGGCAGCTGGAGAACTTGAAACAGCAGAGAATATGAGTTTGGGTGGCACTTCAGTGCAGCACTGTACTGATCACAACTTGGACGTAGGTACCTCGGTTCTGTCCACACCTTGTTGGAAGTACGTATTTTATTGGATTGTACCCTTAGGTGGTGTTTCGAGTAATGTATTCATATATGTACATATCTATTGTTACACAGGTATTTAGAAGCATGATCTCAGTAAATGGGCTTTCTGCAGGACAACTCGTCCAAGACTGACCCCTACTGAGCCACGCACAGCAGTGGCTAGCCTTTCACAGCACCCCTATCTCTCACTACATGACTACAGCACTAGCCTGCCTAGGGATCCCTGCAAAACAAAAGCCAGAGCTCTCTGAAAACCAACGAATGCACCAGCCTAGTGGAAATGTGGTCTGAGACATGGTTCCTAGAGAGAAACAGAGCTAGTGGCTCCTTTTCCCCTGGGGGACCAGTATCTGCTCTTGTTTTCCTTCAACATTTGATGAAGTCCTTCAGCCCCAGGGACAGCTGACATCCCATTCTGCTGTTTTGCACTAGCAACAGTCACTTCACAGCAAAGTAAAGCAGGTGCAAAATACAGAAAATAATAATCCACATAACCCTCACTGAAACAATTTTCAAAGCAGCAAGGCAGTGCAAAGTCAATTTCCCCTCATTTTTTTCCACTCAGTTAGATGGAACATTTATTCTTAATGAACCAAAGGAGGAGGAAATAGATTTTGCTAAAAGTTGCTGGAGTTGTGGTCCGGTGAGACTGAATTCACAACAGGTTCAAAGCACTGATATAACGTTACCATCACCCCTGAGACAGATAGATGAGAAAAGGCTAAATGAAATGCTTCTGCCCAGGTAACAAAGGAAATGGTGAGACCTGGAGGTTTTCAAAAGACAGGATGGTTCAAACCTGTTCTCATATCCTTGTCTGATCTTTGCTAAGCCTGTAGCAATAGCTTTGGAAGCTGTTCAGGTCAGTTCAGATTAACCCAAAAAAACCCAAAACCACAAACCCAAAAAAACCTCAGACCATGATTTTATTTTTTTGACAGTAACAGACATTTGCCTCTTGTCAGCCAGATGTGCAAAAAGAAAAAAAAAAAATCCAATCCCCTCACCTCCAAAAACAACAACAAAAAAATCCCATCCCCATTAAAAACAAACTCTAAAGTAATTGCTGAGATCCCTCAACTGGGAGACAGGAGGAGCTGCAAATTGAGTATCTGATGCCCTGGACTAGAGGCTTGCGAAGGAAGTGTTCCACTGAAGGGGACTGTACCTATTAAATTGAAAAATAACATTTGTCTAAAAAAAATAATCATTATCCTTTTTAGTTCGGTACATTCTTGTTTCTGCTGTGACATATACAGCCTTACTGAAAGGACAGCTCAGGGATAAGAACAGAAACATTCTGTGTTCCCAAGAATCCTGTTTTTTTTAGCTGCTTCTTTGGCCCTGCTATGTCCTCCTCTTCAGACAGTCTTATCTCCCTTCTTCAGCCACAATGACCGTACTCTTATTAAAGCCAGCACATTGCAGATACTGCCTTTGGAAAAGGGTAGAGTTGGCTTTGGTGAGCAGCTCGGTGCTCTGCAGCAGACAGCCCCATGTCAGGAGTTTCACACTCAGAGCTGAGATGCCCCCAGAGGCACCAGCTGCTGTGGGAGACCTCTGTTCATTTCTCCATTCATGTGACTGGGAACTGTTCAGTCAATATATTTAACTGGTGTAAGACCAGCAGACAAGACCACAAGGTATCACTTTCCTTGCTAAAAGAGACACTCCAAAAGCTGCTGCAGCATATGGTTATGATCTGGTTTCTGAATCCTAGCTCTTTTGTTTAACTTTCATGAAAAGAATTTGTTTCAAAATGTATTTTATTCTTAACAGGGTAGTTAGAATGCTATGCGTATCCCTGATTAACATTTCCATTTTTTCTTGCAGTCTTAGGAAGTAATTTCATCTCACTTCATCTGTCAGAGGCCAGGAAATTTTACTTTCAAGATCTGTGAAAAACTGATTTTACAAAGAGACATTTCTGACTAAAGAATAATTTCTGCTAAAATGAGCAAGAGGTCCAATCTGAAATACATTTCAAATCTGGTTCAGCACAAAAACCTCTGTGGTTAACTGAATTAAGAAAACTAGAATCTTTTTTTATGCCAGGTAGAACAGATGGTGTTAAAATTCCTCTTCAGCTTGTTTGGAGCGAGAGCATTTCAGTTCCAGCAGTCTCTCCACAGTGTCTGCAATTGTACGCTCACCATGCACCTTGTTGTCTCGGGTGCGGATGTTAACTGTTCCACTTGCCTTCTCTTTTTCACCAACAACTAGAAACAACCAAGATGCCAAGGAATTAACTTAACATTTAGCAAGCTCCCTTTTCCCCCACATTCCCTTAGAACTTAGGCATACTAAACAAAATTTATGAAAAACTTACCAACATCAAATCCCTCTGTGCCCTTCACTTAGATCTGTAACAGCCAATGGCCTTATTTACTTATATCATTTAACAGGGTTTAGTATGTTATGAAAAAGCAACTTAGCAAACTATCAGTAAAGAGAAAAGTAAACTTAGTAAGTCCAGCTTGACTTACTTCTTACTAGAGAGAACCACAAAGTCAAAATGAGAAATAAACATGGAGTACTCCATGGGCAAAGATTAGAAAGACAACTTGATTATAAATAACCAATAGCTATTTGTTTTCTTTACAGAGGCGGCAAGACAGTTTATTGGAAAATCCCAAAGCTATTTTACTTAAACCTTAAGATACAGATACCAAGATGCTATATGTATGTCTCATTAAATGTTATATAATATATTTGGAGGTTGCTACAGGAGATTGTATTTCTCTAGTACCAAACCTACATTCAGTGGGACAACTCTTAGAAACAATCTCTGAACGTAAATGAGGTGAGAGTTTTTTCCCCTGATAGGCTGATCATTTTTTGTGGTAAAATGTGGTTGTGTCTTATCTGAATCATATGCTGAAAGTTTTAAAAAAACAAAAGAACAAAGTTCATGATTCTGTCAATTAGTGGAAGTCTCCTATACAGGTTTGTATAGCTCAGAAATGCACCACAGCTGAACGCAGTGAAAATATGTTACTTCTTTAGCTACATTTAAACAAGAGCATAAATTATTGGAGGATGAAAAAACTGCTTAACAATCTGACTGACAAAGAGCAAGAAATTTCATATATGTCTCCATACTGCTGACCAGGAGACAGCAAAGACCTTTTTCTAAAGCAGCAGTAATGCCTTGGGCCACAGTGAGCTCCTTTCAGTGACAGCTATACAAGCCAGGTACGCCTATCATGCAGGCAGGAGAGGCTCTCTGGAATGGAGACTCTTAGGAGAAAAGTGACCTAAAAACACAGAATAACTCTCTGCTTTACTTACAGAAGAAAGATCAAATCCTATAAGATATACAAGAAAGCCAGCCAGGATAAAGTAGCAAATGCACTGTACATTACCCAGAATAAAGTTATACTGTGCAAGCTGAGCATTTCTGATCTTCTTGTTCAGTGTACACCCAGGATCTACATCAACGTCTGCCATTAACCCAGCATCATGGAAGTGCTGCCTGACCTAGGAGAAAAAGTATTTGAACTGTCACTATAGGATATTAACGAGAATAAACTGTTTATGACTTGGAGACATAAGTCAGTCAAGCTTAGCTGACCCCTAAAACCAAGGCACCGTCATTGGTTCAGGTGTTGGAGAGAAGCCCAGTTCAAGGCACAAAACCAGGTCAGCTACCATGCAAGTACATACACACTAAATAACAAAGCAGTGAGGTGAACATCTTCTGTTTTGGGCTGAAAAGTGACTTGAGCTTGATACTGTGAAAGGCAGCAGGATGGTGGAGCTTTCTGATTAGAAGATTGATTTTTTTTGTATTATTTTGCAGACTATTTTATTTATGTATAATATGCTTGAAAGAGATACAGGAGAAGGTCTGCTGGATGCTAAATATGCAAAGACTCATCTTCATCTTTCTTAACTGCTTCTGCAGGATGCACATGGCCATGGGAGACTAGAAACTGAAGGGTAAGACAGTTTTTGAGATAGAGAGAAAACTGAAGTTTTCCAAAAATAAAAGCCTCACAAAGATCAGCATTTGTAATTTAGATTCCCAAAATCTATTTCAGCTCCTCTTTAAGATCCATCTACAACTTCAGTAGCTAATTGTCATTGCAAGATAAAAATGATACAATGTAATATGCAAAGACTTATAATATTTAATCTAGGATAAATACTACTAATCATTAATAACCAAGTATCTGAACTAAATACAATATCCTGAAAAAAAAGCCCCCAAACCATATACATCACCTTTTGAGCATACTCATCACACGTTGGTCCCACTGGTACCACCATTACCTGCTGTGGGGACAGCCAGAGTGGCCTTCAATAAACAAACAAAACAAGTTTATATAGTTTTCAGTATTTTTTTAGTGTGAAAAATCCTCTTAAGAGGTAGGACAAAAATCTATGCAAGAAAGTCATAAAGCTAGCTGCTTAGATTGGCTTCAGAGGGGATGGCAGCCCTACACTCATTAAAATTTATCGCCCAAAAAGAACTGAGTGTCTAAAAGAATTGCAGCATGGACAAAAGTACTTTTGACCTGAAGTTTCAAGTTGTGTTTTACAACAGACAACAAATAATAACTGAGTTTTTGAGTTTATTACTAACTAGTCATAGGAAAACATTTACTTTTGAGTCTTTTTATAAACAGAGGGGTCAGCCCCGTTAGAAATTACACTGCAAGTAAAGGAGATGACCTACATAAATGACTTGTTGTAAGGTAGACCAGCTGCAAAAGCAAAGTTGAGGGATGTACACCTTGGGCAGACAAGCTGTATGCTGCACCTGCATGAGTGGTATCATGTAGAGGCTACCATATCTAGCATTATTTAGTACCTAAGGAAGGTGGTTCAGAAGGAATTGCCCTGTGGTACACCGATGGCATGTCTCTGTAGCAAGCAAGTAGAACAAACTCGCTTGATTCTTGCGTCCTTGGGGCTAATTTCTCCTCTACATAAAGTGTCTCCTCAAACTGCAATAATAAATCTACTTTTCAACATTACCATTTGCCTCCATAGTTCTCAGTTAGAATAGCAATCATTCTCTCCACAGATCCCAAGATGGCACGGTGAATGATAACTGGTCTTGTCTTGTCATTACCATCATGGCTGTGAAGAAAGGGGTTTTTTTAGATGTAAGGTTTTTTTCTTGATGTAAACTTATGCCTGTAAGTGACAGCAAAGTTAGATTACATAGCAATTAAACCCACCAGCCTCTGCACTTACCTGACAAAGGTGAGGTTAAATCTGACTGGCAGCTGAAAGTCGAGCTGGATTGTAGCACATTGGTGGTAGCGGCCAATGGCATCTTTAATCTGAATATCAATCTTAGAAACAAAAAGACACAAACTTTTACTACAGTTTAAGATACAAGCAGGCCCCTCTGAAAGCAATCTCACTGTTTTAAGATGGAAGGTTTCACTCAATGCAGAGGAACTGTATGTGGTTATAAATAACGTACTTTTACTTCAGCCTATGTTAGGACTTAAATGATTTTCAAGTTCTGATGCAAAAAATGTTAGAGCTAAACACATAGTGAGCAAGTAGAGAGACATTACTTCAGGGGGGACCTACATTTAATACATCAGATTAGTTTTTGTGAATTTGAGTCTGGGACTTTCATGATCCTTTTCACTAAGTGAATTCAGCAGCACATGAGTGCAAGTGCAAGATCAGAACTGCACAAGCCTCGCAAAAAAATGCTATTTCTTCAACCTCAAACTGGCAAACTTACACTTCTTTATTATCCAGTATTTCAATGCTTTGTAGCTTATGTTACAAATTCAGAGCATGAACATGGGATGAGAATCCTACTGTTAAATAATCCACTTAACCAGTAAGAATCATATTAATCAATGACACTTTTTCTGACTATGAGTATCTACAGTCAAGCCTACTCTTTCTATTGCCTCTTACACTTTAATCCTGAGTACACTTATGATACAAGTTAGACAGAGAAACAGATAGAAAACAGTAGATTTATAGCGTCTTAACCTTATTTATTTATGACATTGCTCTCTTATTCATCATTTTACCAGTATGGCCATATGCTGTGGCTATGTTCCTTATTTTAATTTATGTTACTGAACAAACAGATCAGTGTTTTATTAATTGAAGTTCTAAATGTCTTTCAATTTTGCATTCAGAAGTCAGAGTTTATCATAGCTCAGCTACTCACCAAAATAAATTATTTACAACATTCTTTAATTTCAAATCACTCAGTTACAATAGAAAAAAAAAAAATCCGAGTAGTTTAAAGGTACCCTAGATGTAAAGCTTAACTTAAAAATGTAATTTTAACAAGTTTCCTTAAAAAACAGTGCAAAATACTACATGTTTCCTCACCTTACTTTGGCTAGAGTGTATTAAGAGCAAGTGTAGGTTAATTAAGGTTAAAAAAGGTTTCTGTAGATGTTTGCCTTCTTTCAAATCAACTGAGGAAATTACTAAATCATAATGTGAAATGCAAACATGAAAGATTAGCTGCTCTAACACATTTCACCTACAACCCATAAAATGAAATTGATTCAATTAGCATACAAACAGAGAAATCAGAACCAGTTTACTAAATGACTGAATATAGACATAAATGTAGTGTAGGTTTAATGGGGAAAGATTTACAAGTAATTTTGTAATGCTCTCTGTAATCATGCTTAAAGATATCAGGAAATTTCTAGAAAGCCCTACTTAATCTGTGCAAACCGAAGAGACAGCTTTAAAGAAAACCCAACAAAACCAATGCAAGGGGCTTTTTAAAATACCAAAACCTACCAGCAACTCAATGCAGCTAAAAAGCTATGCCAGTAAAAGCAACATTTTTGAAAAATCTGTTTAACTAGTAAGTTTATTTTTGTTTTTCTCATGACTTAGTGTTCTTTTATCACCCAAAGGATTACTTCCAATGCAACAACTGCTCTGGTAATACCAATCTTACACTGCCACCTTCTGTTCATGTCTCCCACAAAAGCAATCAGCTCTGTTTAAGCAGCAAGCAGTTTATACACACAAAGTGGGTTTAGTTAATGAAAAAAGTGTTAAAGCTATGTGAAAACTGGGATCACAAAGTATTATTACTCTCTCAAGTATGTCAGAGTTTATGCCTCTGGAAAAACACCAAATTTCAGCCATACAGCATCTTAAAATGGTATTAGATAACTATAAAAAAAAATTTCCCCTTTTCCTAATCCCAGCTTTTAACAATCTCAGCTTGTACCAGGCTCTAAGTTTAAGAATCAGTTTTGTTCTATATCCTCCAGCCAAACCTAAACAGCACCAATGCTTTAGAAATACATACTGACATTGAAAAATTTAGTTACAACATTACATTGGAAGAGAATGTGCAGGACAGTAAGTGAAAAATAAAAGTTGCCTTTACCAAGAAGCTCTTGGCTTTTATACATGATCATCACCATACCATTTTCTCCCCTTTGCTCACAATAAGATATGAAAATCATTCTTTATGTGTTAGCAGAATTTAGTGTCCATCTGTATTTCTTTAATTAACTTAGAGCAGAATGTTAACTAGATGGAGACTTTGTCTTGGTCAGGTATCTACTTGAAGTCATCTGGCAAACATTCTGCACAAATAGCTGCCCAACACTTGTCTTTCTGGGAAAAGTGGCTTTAGCATCACTTTGTAAACACATTAAGACTTTGGGTTTTTTTCTGCTCATCTGCTATACTGCAACGAACAGTATTTGCATGCTACCCCTACTGCAAAGATTACAGTAATATCAATGGAAAGCAAGGGATTGTGTAACTTTTGTTTGCCTCATCCAAACAGAATTAAAAGCCTAACCCAGCTAGGCATTAGCAACTTACTAACCTTAGGTCCATAGAAAGCTCCATCGCCAGGGTTTAACTCCCACTTCTCACCAAAGTCATTGAGGCTGTTTTCAAGTTGCTAGAGATACAGGACACATACATTCAGTTTTTCTCAATCATTTGCTGTCTTTCCATGTCACAGCATCAGGTCAGCCTGCTGCTACAGATACGTGACACTACCAGTTCTCAGGACTTCTCAGTTATTGCTGTAACTCATTTACTTTTCTGAGAAAGGAAAGTTTTGGAAAAGCCCCAGCTAAAAAAATAATAAAAAATTAGTCCAAATTTAAGCAAACAAAACTAATGCATTCATTTTGGAAGAGGCCAAACAAGCAGCATTAGCTAAGATGTAAGATATTTTTATGCTAGATGAAAAGTTCATAGATAGTATTGTGAGGGTATCCACCCTGATACACCAATAATGTCTGTTCCTGCCCTACCTTCTCCCCAGCACTGCACCTGCAGGGGCCAACCCCATCCCTTTAATCATGAAAGCAACCTGGCTTTTGGAAGATGCCTCTAAGTCTTATTACAGGGGCTGAGAGAATTGGTTCTCTTCCTCTTTTTAAAAGAAAAAATTAACAAAAAAGTACAAGGAAAGAGAGGAGAAAGAGGTAATTTGATTCTGACATGGAGATTGCTTCTGTATGAAGAATAACCTATTTACAGCAGCCAGACTGAATTGAAGACAGTTATTAAAGTTATATTGCTCATGTCCAACTGTCACTGTACCTATCAGAAGGCAGTATGTTCTTACAGGACTTCCAGCTGCAGCCTTGCTTTCATATAAAAAGTTGATAAAACTACTGTTTACCTTTTCAGCTTGATTCCACACTTCAATATCTCCCAGGTACTTTTCAGGACGAGTGGAGAGATTCAGTTTAAAGGAAAATCCAAAGACATCATACACAGTACGCAAGAACTGCAGGCAACTCTTTATCTCCTCTTCAATCTTTATAAGAATAGAAATAAAGTCTCAAATATGGAAGAATCAGTTAATCAGATTTTAATACCCAATTTCATCTAACAGCAGCTCATACCTGCTCCATAGCACAGAATATGTGAGCATCGTCCTGCTGGAACCGACGTACTCGAGTGAGTCCTGTAAGAGCTCCTGACAGTTCATTGCGATGCAGAACACCAAAGTCAGCCAACCGTAACGGCAGCTCACGCCAGGATCTTGGACGATGATCAAACATAAGGCTGAAGGGAAAGTTTATTACTTGAAGCTCATTCAGAATCAAAATTCTGCAAAGAACAGCCAATGAGAAGCAGCCAGTACCTAAGGAGGTGCCCATAATGCCAATGATGTAATCTATATACAAGCATCATTCACAAGTAGTTTTGTCAGGAAAATGCAGATACCCTTTTATAGGTGGTAGGCTTCCCCCCCTCACAGAGAGAAGATAAAACAGCTCCTAAAACTGAGCATTAAAACCTGAATGCCTAAATTCCCACAAAACTGACAATGTTTTTTGGATATCCAGGTAGTACCAAGGTATGCTTCAGGTCTAAACCAAAGTCACTGTAATGATGGAAAAATTACGTTTCTCAGTGTCTCAAGTAAAGAGAGCATGCAGACAACAAGGCTCATCATTTCATCTCTCCCAACAGCATGTCACAGCTGGATACTTGAAGATAGCCATATTTACAATTAAGCAGGAAAAAGAAATAGGATTTTTTTTTTTTTTTTAAATCAGCATTATCTTTGGTAAACTGGATTTGGTATGTGTTTACCAGTGTCCTGGACAATTCATAGGCTTCAGAGCAAAGATTTCTTTCTCCACTTCAAAGGAAAACATGTTGTCACTGTAATGCTGCCAGTGCCCTGAAGTCATCCATAGTTTACTGTTGAAAACATTTGGAGTGACAACCTCCTGGAATCCACGTTTTCGATACTCACTCTAGAACAACAGACACAGCACATAAAATAACTAATAAAGCAAACAAAAGTAATGGTACTCAGCCTTCAACGTGCAGACATAAAAACAGACAAGTGCTGCCCTACAAAATTCCATAAAGGGAGGCAAGAGAAAGGAGGGAATAGAAGAGAAAAATTCAAGTTGGACATGCCAGGATACATCCCTTCCACCAGCACCACCCTTCCCCTGTACTATTCCTCTGTAGTAAGCAAGAACAAGTTTCCTCCCTGCAAGCAAAAAAGCCGTTTCTAATTATTCAATGACACTTCATAGTACACTGCAGCACAAACACACAATAATAAGACAGAATTTAAATATTACAGCAGGAAGATCGGGATTTTTTTCCTACACATAATTTCATAACAAATAGTTGTACGAGGCTAAATTTAGTAAGTTTAATAAAACAAAACAATATGCATCAGCAGAGCAGCTGTAGTGTGAGCTTAGCTGTACTATTAGATGTCAAAGAATTCGTATTATAAAGCATAATTATCACTGCTTTAACTGCAGGTATAAAGTATAGATAAAAGCATAACTTAGTAGAGATTGTGACAAGACCAATTCAAAGAAACCAGGTTTCTTTAATTCTGTGGCTTACAGAAATAAGAGATTAAACTAACTTGAAATGAAGTTAATATTGTTATATGTAGCATGCTGTTACATATTTTTCTAAAATGAAATAATTTCTTCTATTAGAAGATTTCCAAAAGACATTACTTACCCGGATGAATTCAATTAATGTGTTATAAATGTAAGCTCCTTTTGGCAAGAAAAAACAGCTTCCAGGGCTGAGCTCATGAAAGAAAAACAGTTCTTGGTCCTACGGAAAAATGGTATTTGAAAAACTTAGTATTTGTACATCACCCTTTTCAGTTGCCATTCAGAAATGACTTACTATTGACTGGGCATCAGTAGTCAGTTGGTTTGGGTGCTTTTCATTGTTTTTATGGGTTGTTTTTTTTTAAATAAATCAGATACATTTTCACTTGCATTTATATCTCCATCAGTACTTACAGGGCATGGGGACTGTTCAGATTCCCATTTGCTCCAGACTTCACATTTATGCGTAACTCCAAACCGTGCCCCCTCAGCTCCCTTTGTACATTGACAAGTAATGTCTAGTTCTGTTTCTTCAGGCTCTCTAATTATTTGCACATGAACTGAATGTGGGAACTGTAGTTAGCTAATGTTGTGACAAACATGCACATGCTTGAAGACTGCACATAATTAATTCTTCTTTATATTATCCTTATGTCCTAGCAGCAGACCTTGTAACTGTTCCAGACTATTAATTATCTGACAGGGGTTTCCATCTTAAAAAAAAAAACCAAAAACCAAAACGCACCAAAAAAACATAGAAATGTATTATGGATTCTGAAATCACAGAGAAGAAAAGAACTGTGAGTGAACAGGCTGCAGCTAACTGCCTAAGAATAAGCACTGCCTGCAGACTTTAGTGTTCGTGTTTTGTTCTGCTTGATATGTGGCATAAGGATGTCATCGTGTTTAAACCAGTGAAAAGTCTAAAGAAAAGTTATTTGCTTTAGGACTTTCGATGCTCCTCAGGAGAAAAGTACCTGACTTTACAACTCAACTGAAAATACAATGGTGTCACGCCTTGGTTGTGGCAGCAAGTATATGCTGTCTTTAAGATGCTTCTAGTTCAGGGGTGACATCCACACACAGTGTTTGTGAAATAAATTACCAGAAAAACTGTCTCACCCGTCCAATTTTTCTGTGATCTCGGTTTTTAGCCTCCTCCTGGAATTTCTCCCACTCCTTCAGCATTTTTGCATCTGGGAATGAAATTCCATAGATCCGCTGGAGGGACTCCATATCAGCCTTTCCTTCCCAATAGGTAGAAGAATTCTGCATGCAAAAAATAAATGAAACAATGAAGAAAAGAAGGAGTCTCCATGTTTTACTACTACTGCCTGCTATGCAAAGGCATGCAGTTATTAATAAATGACTCCACTTAGAATCATAGAATCAATAATTTGGTTGGAAAAGACCATTACGATCTTCTAGTCCAACTGTCAACCCAGCATTGCCAAGTTCACCACTAAAGCATGTCCCCAAGTGCCACATCTACACGTCCTCTAAACACCTCCAGGGATGGTGACTCCACCACTGCCCTGGGCAGCTTGTTCCAGTACTTGAAGACCCTTTCAATGAAGAGGTTTTTTTTCCTAATATCCAACCTAAACCTC